CAAAGCTTAGTTTCTTACAGTCAACATCATTCACATCATCATTCTTGGCCACAGTGTGACATGATCTCATTCTTGGCATCCGTGACTTGCAGCAGGTGCCTTACTTCTATTGTGTATGCTATGGTAGGCTAGGTTTTGCATATTCTGCCTGAACAGTTTCTCTGCTCATGTAGGGCACAGGTTCATGAATAACACAAAGAATAAAATCCTTTAAGTCTTAAGAATAAAATACTAGTTGACTTAAGCACTTAGTCAAACCTTACATTGAAAGAATGACATTAGTGGTCAACACCTTTACCCAGTGAGACCACAGTCATTCTCCCAATGGCTACACTAAATGCACTTCTGAGTAATAACAGCACCTCTAGGATATCAAAATAAAGTTTTAGATAAAACACAGCACACCAACAAAGTAAACAAAGGAATTATTATTCAACACTATGCCTAAACTATGTCTGTTTGCACGCTGTTTACCAGGTTGACTCAGAAACCATTTATCTGCAACAGTTGTCATCATGATTGTTGTTTTTCAGTGAACTTTTGACCAGGAACTATCTGGACAGTTTCCCAAGAAATTTACATTGTACATCATATTTCACATGGTTAAAATAAAAAATAAAACTGAGTTATCACTGTATGAATTCACATGTGTTTGGAGGTTAATCCCTTTCTGCTTCATATAGACACATCTTCTTGGACTAATTTGTCACCTAGGCCATAGAGGCCAAAGTTTTCTATGTGACATCATGTCAGCCAGACAAACCAAATCAGCCACATTTTTTACCTACCAAGAAAGTTACATCATTAAAATAAAGAGAAATTGGTTATTACCAGCCACCCTATATTCTGATCATTTTGGTAATGTGGTGTCCGAACAATAATGCTGCGATGATGTGTTGAGAAGAAATCTGCTTGACACTGTTCTGGATCATAAAAGTTTATTAAATCAAGGAGTTCAGTATCAATTACAAGTGACCCAGCCCGATGACCACTCTGTCTCTCTGTACATCAAACAAAGCTTATATAGGATATGTGTACCATAGAAGGGTACAGTACTATTCTGAGGTAACAAAGCAAGGGGTTAGAGGTCAAATTCTATAGAAGGACTGACTGGTTCTGACGAAGTGTCATTCCTTACACTTAAATGAACTGGGAGAAAACGAGGGGCTTTGTGAAGGAAGCCTTGGATGGGCTGGATTTAAAAAATCAGGTCAATTACAATCATAAATCTTTAAATTGATCAAAACAATCTACCTGGTTTTATTTATCAAAATTTAAAAACATTCAAAGCCTATACACTCAGATGGAAGAAAATAAAAATGTTGACAAGAAGTCTAAGCAATAAGGGAAAAGATGACATGAGATGAGATTTTTTTGTCTCTCAAGGGAAAATTTTATTTACAGTAGTGGGCAAAACCACAAATACAAGAGCCAAGAGGACATGGTACAATAATCACCACAGTTACAGCAAACAACTAAATAAAAAAGACGCAGCTTAAAAGTGTCAAAGTGACATTGTAATTACTCCTAGAGTCAGTTGTTTATAGAATATACAACAATGATTGTGTAGAATAACTTTTGTTATCAGCAGGGTTAGTTAGTGTTAGGCTTATTTTTTGGTTCTTGTCCAATTACTCTCTCCCCCTCCTAATAAGGAGCCAGGCATATTCGGCATAATCAGAACATAATGGAAGTAAGGGTTTAGCTCTCTTGCACAATCTTCTGGCACTACATACAAGCCAGGATGTTCATATAAGGACCATTGCCCAGCCAAATAATGTTGTTTATCTTAAGAGTGTTTCCACATATTTTCCAAGCACTTATGAGCCTTTGTGGTGTCCGAACAATAATGCTGCGATGATGTGTTGAGAAGAAATCCGCTTGACACTGTTCTTGATCATAAACGTTTATTACATCAAGGAGTTCAGCATCAATTACACGTTCTGCAGCAGCTTGGAGAGTGACCCAGCCCGATAACCACTCTGTCCCTCTGTACATCAAACACAGCTTATATAGGACATGTTTAGGTATCTGCTAAATACCATATAAGGGTCAGAGTCTGCAAACTAAGGCTCCAATCCATATAAGAGCAAAGTTCTATAGGATAAGTGTAGACATCAGATAAGGGTCTGAGCCTCCACGTGACCACTGACCTCTGAACTCCCCTTAAAGGTCACTAATCCTCTATCCAGCTGCTACAGTGCTATGTTAAACTGTTATGCGTCAAATGCACATATGTTATACACCACACCTTCTTACCAAGCACTTGGGAGTTGCTCAATAACTCATCAGAAATAAAACTCAGAGAGGTAAAGCTCACATTTCAGGACACAGACCAGTAAGCTCTTTCCAAGGCATGGGCCCCCTTTTGCATTTTTCTTGACCTCTGGTTGTACACCATTAGCTTCTATGCAAACAGGTCTTGTTTTGTAAAAAGATTTATGACTCCCTTATCTTAGCTCACAGGTCAGGTTGGTCACAGTCTGTGGTCTTGTCTCTTCTCGCAGAACTTCACTCACAGAGCGTAGAGTGTCACCTCAGAGTTCAGTATTTCACATAGATCTGACAAGGGTTGGCATGCTTATACAAGTTCATATATTGAATGAATGATACATTTTGAACAACATAAAATGTAATAATAATGACATTCTTACACAACAACTTCTTGATGCTGAAGATCACTTTGTTCACATTTATTCATTTAGCAAACACTTTTATCCAAACCAACTTACAATTGCTATACATGTCAGAGGTTGCTCCAGTTGCTCTGGAGCAACTAGGGCCTAAGTGTCTTGCTCAGGGACACATTGGTGCATGGGTAACAGTGGGGAATTGAACCCAGTTCTCTCACACCAAAAGCATGCGTCTTATCCATTGGGGCATCACCACCCCATCCTGTTCACTCATTTGGTATTTTGTTAATTGTCTGTCTGGTGTCTGTTCTGTGTCTAAAATCTGGTGTTTGTACACAGGTGTTTGTTGGAAACAAAGAGTGTGGCCCTCATCCCGCCACATAACACTATTCCAGCCGTTCCAGACATGATTTGTGTGTCAGGTAATGTTAGTGACACTGACATTCAGCTTACTCTCTAGTTCATAAAGATATCTTGTTGTGATGTTAGCTATAGTAGCAGGAGAGTTGTGAGTATTGCTGTCTGGAGCTGGTGTGCTGCTCTGGGACGTCCCATCCTCTCTGCATGTTAGCTTTGCAGCAGCAACTTTAACAACAGTTTACTAAGCCACAACTTGGCTAAAGTAAGTTATGTTACTTGCTGTGTTGTTGTTTGCTTTATGTCATGGTATTTTTCATGGTGTTGGATTTTTCCAGAATTGCTTACTTCATCTTTAAGACTACTGATAAATGTAAGGTGATGAGTATATGTAGTATAGGTTTCTACAACAATATCTTAGTTGGTACTTCAAATTGGGCAGTCTTCTAAAATCTGGGAGTGGCCTCGCTGCCAGGAACAGTGTACTTGATCATGTGTCTGGAAAGTACCCTTGACACCTCCTACAGCCCCTCATATTTCCTGTGGAAATAAATGGCTTGCTGACACAGCCACATCTTGCAGGCCTACTAATAGTATAAAGTAAAATAATCAGTAAGCTATAAAGAAGGATTGCAATAGCTTGATGAGTGATAAACACTTTGTCTGGTTTTGGTTCCACATGACACTCAGCATAGCAGGAACCTGCATTAAGGCAGTTCTGGCTGAGGCAACTACAGATATGCTGAATGAGTGAACTGTGTGTGTCCTTCTAGCCTTCTCTTATGTTCTTTCCTTGTGTATAAAAGTATGCATATTTGCAAATGTGAAATAAACACAATAATATAAAAATAAAGTATTAATCCGACTTAACTCTAAACTCCTAAGGGAACCTAAGGGATTGGTTGGAGATGGTGAGGAGAGCTAAAAATTCACATTCTGCTCTTTTTACCACTGTCAACCGTGGAAACCATGGGAAGTAAGTGTGCTTTCACACCTAACATGTTTGATTTGGTTAAAATGAACCCTGGTGCGTTTGCCCGGTGAATGAGGTTCAGTTGAGCTGATGTGAAGACTGTCAATCGAACTCTGGTGTGGACCAAACAACCGCTTTGATGTGAAAACAAAGATTGGTGATTTTTCTACATAATCATCTGTCAGTCAACTGAATTTGATTTTCCCATAAGGGTCCTGATGAAACACTGATCAAATCTGTCATGTTTACTTCTCTTGGTTCGTTTGTAAAAAGTCAGAACATGAACCAGACTGAAACTAAAATGCAACAATAGCATTATTTTCCTCCTGGTCTGGACCAAATAAACTAAACAACAGGCGTGAAAGCGCCATATGACTCTCACACTAAGTGAGAAAATGTGTTTTATTCATGTTTTGTATGAATCGACCCTTTATAGCTTCATTAAAAAACAAAAACAAATGCAGTTTGTCACCCTGTGTGGTGTATAATATATGTGCATTTGACGCATAACAGGTTAAAACAGCACTGTAGCAGCTGGATAGAGGATTAGTGACCTTTTAAGGGGAGAGCAGTGATTAGTGGTTATGTAGAGACTCAAACCCTTCTATGGTACCTAACAGATACCTAAACATGTCCTATATAAGCTGTGTTTGATGTACAGAGAGACAGAGTGGTGATCGGGCTGGGTCACTCTCCAAGCTGCTGCAGAGCTTGTAATTGATGCTGAACTCCTTGATGTAATAAACTTATGATCAAGAACAGTGTCAAGCGGATTTCTTCTCAACACATCATCGCAGCATTATTGTTCGGACACCACACCTGGACTGAAATCATACAAATTTCAACTTCATAAAATCTAAACAAAAACACTTTTGAACTACTTGTTTTTTCACACCAGCAGCCTTCAACATGTTTGTGTCCTGCTGTAAGGTGACCCTCAAATCAGTCCGCACATGAGCTGAGAGAAGGGAGGAGTCAGCCCACCCGCTCTTTGAAAAAGCACGGCAGCTGAGGCAGATCGGTGCATTTGAGCAGAAACTGCGCTTCAGGAAGGAGGAAACATTCTTTGCTTTTTGAATCAAGCTCGATTTGACACGTCAGTTTTTTTTCTTGTCAGCAGCCGCATTAGATGAGCCGATGTGGTACTTTTTTTATAACCCTGCAAATGACAACTTTACATTAATTTCCTGTCTGAAGAGAAGTGTTTTAGTTCACGACGGCTGTAACTTTTCACGATGGAGCGCAACAGCGTGGGCTGCCAGGTGGGTGTGATTGTGTTACATGCATGTGTCTGTAGCTGACCGTGCCTCAGCTTTGTTTTGAAGCTGTAACAATCCAGAAATTAGGGGGAAAAAACGTTTAGGTGGTTTAGTGGCAATGTTTAGTCAGACTCGATCTGTTCCTGCTTGTGCACGAAAGGGGTGTGTGTTACGTGTTCATGCTTTAAAAAAAGTGCAGATCCATGGTCTGAAATGACATAAAGTTATGGCTTAAATCAGAGAGGTTTATTAATTTCTACCTTGACATAGGCTGTGAGACCGTTACTCCACATATGACGTAGGCTAATTAACTTCATTCAAATTTAAAGGCTCTCTAAAACTGAAAACCAAGTGAAAAGATGGGAGGGAGATTACTATTCGGCAGTTAAGGTAAAGTTAACCTTAGTAGCATGTCAGTATTTCTCATGAAGGCTATGAAAAGTGAAGGTTCGCTTGAGGAATGCCGACACTGCACTCAAACAATGGAGCACCGCGTGGTCACGTGGAGTTTCTTGACTGTGTAACAAATGTTTCTTCCATCTGTCTCAGGACAGAATCCCTGAGTCTGACCACACTGAAGCCTCTTTCCTATTCGGCAGTTAAGGGGAAAGTTAACTTTTTGCACCTCTTGCTGTTGTGATGGCTTGTAGGAAATTTAGATAGGCCTAATGCCTTATCACTGCCTGAAACAGGCTTTCAGATTTGTAAAACCTTTTTCATTTTCGTTTGTGAAAATTAATATAATAGGCTTTGTTTTTTTCCCCATATAGACTACATTGAATCAGGTCCAGATTTAAAAAAAAAAACTATGCTGAGAGCAGTCAGATATGGTCTAGATTATTCCAGAGAGGCTAAAATATATTTAAACCACAATACAAGAAAAGCACATTGCAGGAATTGCATGAATCATATCGGTTTGGTTTGAGGAAAAACTTGCTGGTACATTGTAAACAAGTTTGATGCACTTAATCTGTATTGTCACTGTTCTGAGGTCACTCATTGCTTATCCATGTTAATTTGGGGAAAATGCAAATGTCTTGCTAACATGTGCAGGTAATGTTTGCTTAATGCCTAGATAATGGCATAGTTTTTGATCAAGGTTCAGATAACATGCTGTATAGTAGTAGGGATGAGTTGTTAGGTGGACACCTGCTAAAGATCACGTTCTACTGAGGAAGATCATGACATGTACACTGTAAGAGACTATTGTGTGAAATCACTGCTTTTTAGAAGGTACTTACTACATACTTGATGATGATCTTTTAAAATAATTAATCTTTTTAAAAAATACCATTGTGTGTTTAAGTTTTTTTAATACTGTCAAATTATGCACATGACTTTTAAAAAATGCGGCGTGACTTGTTTATAAGACGATGTTCGCTGACCATAAGATCAGTCTCCAGAGAAGTTTTTGACTACAAGTTATTGACTACTTTGGTGAGCTATTTAAGTATTTTTCACTAAGTTTCCTAAAGTGGTGAGGGTTACAATTGGGCCTTCAGCTGGTCTAGCCTTTTCTCTTTATCAGTTGCTTTGAGGTAAATGCTAACATCAGCATTCTAACATAAACATGTTTTGCTGCTATAATGTCTACTATGTTTAGTTGAGCATGCTGGCAGCACTCATTTGCTTATTACCACAGAACAGCTGAGGATGGCAATGTCAGTTTCGGAGCTGTTTGGTCATAAGTTACATTTAAGCTACGTTGAGACTGCAAGCCAATGTGACCCAGATCTGATTTTGTTTGGTTTTTTTGCCCATATGTGACTCAGATCTGATCTTTTTATGACCGTGTGAACAGGCCAAGTTACATGGAATCTGATCTTTTCAGTTCGGAATTGGGCCACTTCCATATGTGGTCCAAATCCAATACAGATGGGATCTTTTTAAATGCGACCTCAGTCTGGACACTCAGGTCACATTTGATGCGACTTTGACGTCACTGTAGCGCAGCTGTTCTGCTGCAGACGGAGCTGCGCTGAACAAAAAATCTCCACAAAAAGCCATAATTAAACACGTGACTCTCTTCCTTCTCTACCTCGCTATGTTCGAGCAGACACAGTGGAGGGAGAGAGGGACTGAGTTGTGGGGCAGATGCGTACAGCGCCAGAAACCGAAAAGAACAGAAAGTTGTGAACACTTGTTATAATTCGGGAGAAATGTGACAATGAAAAACGTGAGTCTCCCGCTAACCGGAGCTAACCTCTGTTGCTCCTTGTTTACGTCTGTAGGCTGCAACAGCGTGCTACGTGACATTGTGTTACTCTTCTGCGCATGCGGGTCACTTTCAGGCCATGGACAGTTCACACTGGAGTCTGATATGGGCCACATTTAAACTATAATATGAACTGTCAAACAAAAAAAATCAGATCTTGGGGAAAAAATCGGAATTGAGCATTAAGGCCTGCAGTCTGAACGTAGCCTTAAAGATGGTGCTAGATGAAAAGTCGGAGCAGCAACAAAGTTATTACTATTCATGGGGGAGTTGGGGGGGGCATGAATGTCACTACAAAACTTAGTAGAAATCCATTGAAAAGAGACATTAAGTCTGGACCAAAGAAATGGACTGACCAGCATTGCCATCCCAGAGGTGCCCCACAAGCATAGTTACAGAAAACAAAATGTCTCAGTAAGGTGTATGGAACACCATGTGCATCCAGAAAACTTCAGAGCTCCTTGTTTTGATAATGGTGGGAACGTCTGTCCAAAATCTGGTGATTAGTTAGTCTCTGTTTCATGGCATGTAGAAACTTTCCAGCTCTGATGGGAGCACTTGGCAAAGTTGGTAAAAACACTGGAGACGTCATACAGTTGAGAAAAATAAGGTCAAGTTTAGACACCATAACCAAGTTATAACTCTGAAATGTAAACATTGTTTCTAAATGCAACTGGAGGATGGAGAGAATGTTTTCTTTTACCTTTGGTCTGCATCATAGAGTGCATGCAAAGATGGATGACAGGACAGCTCCTCAAGTGAAGCCAAAACATCTTGATCACCTCCTGGTGGCTGGCATTTCAGGTAGCCTAATTCTTATTATAGAAAAGATATCAAAACCAAAATCTGACCCTCTAACAGACGCAACTTTACCACGTCGGTTTTTTTGTTGTATTTTTTCCAAATCCTGTTAATATTTCCCCCGTGTGTGTGTGTGTGTGTGTGTTCATGTACTTTCCCCTTAAAAGCAGACTACCGCGTGTGTAGCCGCATCACTCCGCCAGTCCCGTCCAGTCCTTCTCCGCTTCCAGACTGGAGTCTGAAACACTGGGAGATATTAGCTTGCGCTAACAGCATTCACTTTCCAGCAGATGGGGGAAACAACAGATATTTGTTGACAAATATTTTATTAAAGGGTAGGGCGCAATGTGACCTACACTCCATTTTTACTGCCAGACTGACAAGTAACTCGCTCACTTTCCTGTCTTTCGGCCGCACACTCTCACATTCGCTCGCCCTTTCACTTGTTATGCACCCACACATTGCACTGCCGTTAAAAGACCTAACTCTGCCGTCCATATAAAGGTACCTGGAAGCTAGCCAATTGACATCAATTACGTCAACTAATCGTTGCAGCCCTAGTGTTCATGCTACTTCACGTGTTTGTGGACTGCTGTTGTGCTGCAGTGAAGCCATTTCCAATTCACAGAGCTCACGGAACCGCACGTTGTTGACTGTCTAAAATACTCCCAAACTTTAGATGGGCATTATTTACGTGATTGATATGTCGACAAATTGCCACAGCCCTAATTGTAATCAAGGTAAAATGTTCAATTAATTGTAATTTTGATTTTAGGCCAAATCATCCAGCCCTACTGATGTATATTAAGTGTTTCTGAAAAGTTTGGTTTTAATTAGTTTATTTGATTGGCTCCAAATGACGTCAACAGTGCAAACTGGCAGCACCTATATCCAGGATATTGTGGCTTCATTTTTGTACAGGGGTAGGGAGTAGAGACCCATCGTTCATCTTGACATACAGTCTATAGTCAGCATCTGTTTCTTAGTCTTGGCACAGTAATGAAATTTAATTATTTGGGTACATTGTCCTTAAAGGGATACTCCAGCAATTTAGCATTGCACTTCCATAATGTTGGAAGAAATAGTCTGAGTAAGACCAACATAGTCTCTAGTATGGGTCAAGCTCCAAAGTTGGATTCAACAAATCAAAACATAATGCTACTCAATAGTGTCTTTAATTAACCCTGATGAGGTCATCAGGGTTATGTTCCTGCCAAAGCTCTTCCAGAGCTACAAAATACACTGAACAAAATTATAAACGCAACACTCTTGTTTTTGCCCCATTCATCATGAGCTGGACTCAAAGATCTAAGACTTTATCTGTGTACACAAAAGGCCTATTTCTCTCAAATATTATTCACAAATCTGTCAAAATCTGTGTTAGTGAGCACCTCTCCTTTGTCGAGATAATCCATCCACCTCACAGGTGTGGCATATCAAGATGCTGATCAGACAGCATGGGTATTGCACATTATAGGCCTACAGCTGTTTTCACAGGCTTGTCCTCATGACAAGTAAACTGAATTTCATGTGTAAAATTGGAGTGTATGTAAATGTTTTGATATTTTCAATATTTGAATTTCTTAGAGTTGCAATGTGTTTTTTTTTTTTTTTTTTTTTTTTTTTTTCTGGTGCTACTGTACAGAGCATGCTGACATGTTGCATCACTGCGTAGTAGGGGAGTGATGAAAGTATAGTGCAGGTAGACGAGATATTGTGAATTCTCATGAAATGATGACGTTAGTGTCGTAATATTACGACTTGTCAGAACCCAAATATGTGATAGATTTTGAATGTGCAGAAAGTTTTGAACATGAGCAGAAAACCTGCTGAAAACACCTGCTGAAACACAGGAGCCCAGGAGTTTATAACTAAATTATTAAATTATTTAATTTGTCATTGAGGTGAAAAGGTCCCACAATCACATTTACAGAGATTACTTCCCAAATGGAAGACAAGACAGGGAAGACGATATCATGTCTGCATG